AATGGGTTATGGTGTCTAACTTTTGATAGAAAATGAATTAGAGTGTGAAACTGGTGCCATTAGGTAGAGCTAGGAGAAAGCTCCGTGTAGATACCAAAACCACCTTAATCGGACATCAAATGGGGATTTGGGATGAGTTGGAAGTTCACTCCTTGTGCTATCAAATAATAGCACTGATCTGTCAAATTTCATACAATATGTCTCACGTCATGACGCACGTGTCAAATTTTGTGTGAAATCTGATTTGAGTTTTAAAACTCATTTTTTAGTCTTAATTGATTTTCAAGCTTCCACTTTGTTTTCAAAACTCTGATTTGGAGTCCTTAAATTATATTTGAGATTTGAAATGGCAAATTGGGATTCCTTGAAATAGATTTTGAGAAATTCTTTTATAAATCCTACAGTTTGGTAATTCTTATGAGTTAAGCCTTTGATTACCATAATTTGAAGTTAAGTGTGATTTAACCTCAGGGAGGTTACATGTACCCTTGCAAGTGCCTATAACTTTGATTTACATTTCTATAATTAATCAAAGTCATACTAGTCTTATTTCATCTATGATTCCTTATAGATGACCAATCATAGATATTTAGGACAATCACTATAGTTTACCTAAGGATACAGTTATTATAGTGAACATGAAATTAATATGATAATAAAAGAGAAATTCATTAAATAACAATGTTCATAGCACAATGATTGGCTTTAGGATATAATTTCCAACAACCTCCCACTTATACTATGTACAATTATTAATTTGTCTAATTCCCATTGTCCTGATATGATGTTCATGTTTCACTTGTGTAAGAAGCTTTATAGGAGGAGCAGCAACATTGTCTTCTCCAACTACTTTGCATATTTTTATATCACCTCTATCATTGATATCTCTAATGAGGTGAAAATGCCTGAGTATATGCTTAGTTTTTTAGTGTAACCTTGGCTCCTTAGTTTGTGTAATTATACCATTATTGTTAGAGAGCAAGTTTGTTGGATTTGAGATACTAGGTACCACTCCCAATTCAATAATGAACTTCCTAATCCAAATAACTTCTTTAGCTATATTTGATGTTGCTATATACTAAGCTTATATTGCAAAATCAACTATTGTGCTCTGCTTGGAGCTCTTCTACCTTGCTACTGTAACATCCTAAATTTCAATCTAAGAGACTAGTTGCTAATTAGGGGTAAATTAGTAATTAATAAATTTATTATGGTTTTGGATGATGGATTGATGTTTTGTGTTAATTGAATGGTATGATTATAGGGTTGAATGGTAGAACGATGATTCAAGGCTTAATGCGTGTAGCATCCTAGTTTTTTAATTCCCTAATTTATTATGTTTAATTAGGATAATTAAGTTGAGGTAATGTATGGCCAGGGAGCTTTAATAATCATATTCGATTGTGTTTTAGCCTTAATTGTGGGTTCAGTATCAAGGTAGGCCACTTGAGTATTAAAAAGAGAAGAAAATAGAGACAAAGTACTGTTGTGCCACATGCCGCAGCATGAATTGAGTCCACAGTGGTACATAGACACAACTGATGCCAGAAGGGCGCTACTCTATGCCATGAGCCGCGGTATAGAAATGTGTCAAAAGATTCGTAAGTGTTAAGAGATTTAAAATCAAATAAGTTGAGAGTCTATCTTGATAGAGCTTAGAAATGTGTTTCTCATTTATATGGTCTAGACGACATTGCTATAGGTAGATTGGATTCAAATTGTTTGACTTAATCCCTTTAGTAGTTATATTATAGATGTTTCTATTACTAAGATATTCTAGATTTAAAAGATAATGACTAAAATGCAAATCACTATCAGTATAAAAAATGTCATTTCGATAAGTAGAATATTTACCATTCCTAGTAATGAAAGTATAACATTCCTTATCCAAATAAGATAGAGAAACAGTGTTACTACTCAAAGCAGGAACATAATAGCAATTGTTCAAAATTAACAAAAGCTCATTGGGCAAAACTAATTCATTAATGCTTATGCTTAAAGTAGCAAATCTTGCTTTATTTCTAACTCGTAGGTCTACTTTGTCCTTTATTAGCTTTCTACTATCTTTAAGATCCTAGGCATTTGTACAAATATGAGAATCGCATACCGTATCTAATATCTATGTAGAAGAAGTAGAAAAGTAAATATCTATAACATAAATACTTGAAGAGTAGCCTCGATATCCTTCTTCTTTTTTAAATCTTCCAGGTAAAGCTTGCAATTCATCTTCTAATGTCTAGGTTCATTGCAAAAGAAAAAAATTCCTTCCTTTGGAGGCTTTACCTTCTTGTCTGCAGGCTTAGTTTCAGGCTTGTTTGACTCTCTAGTCTTACCACCTAAGCCTTTACCTTTCTCATGCCTTTGCCTTTCTTTTTCATAATATTTCCTTTCTAAATCATCAAAACAGTGCTAGGCTTTTTCTTATTATTTTACTCAGCAGTTTTGAGCATCCCATGTAGTTCAGAAATAGATTTCTCTATGTTGTTCATGTTATAGTTTTATAACAAATTGGTCATAACTTTTTGAGAGTGAGTTCAAGATGAAAACTATTGCTAATTCCTATCTTTGGGGCAATTTGAGACTCTCAAGGTGATCAATATAGCTTTTCATCTTTAAGACATGAACATTAATTGATGCACCCTTAACCATCTTGCAGGAATGTAAGGCTTTTGTGGTCCATACCTCTCTTACCTTAGCTATTATTGGAACATTTCTTTGAGATGTATAATCATCTCATGAGCCTCCATGTGTTCTAAATTTCTTTGAAGTTCAAGAATCATGGTAGCTAGCATTAAACATTTTACATCCACTAAGTCGTTCGTGTGCTTTATGTAAGCAACCCTTTAAGCTCTTGGAGCATTGGTTGTAAGCTCCTTGGGAATGGATCCATCCTGGACATATGCCTTTCTTTCCTACTTGAGAACAATTCTTAAGTTTTTAAAGTAGTCAAGAAAGTTTATCCCATTAAGTTTGTCATTCTCAAAGTCCAATTGCAATGATAATGTAGTAGTGTTATTAGTCGACACGATCCTACGATAATAAAATACAAAAAGTTAATTTACATCTCCTATCAAAACTAACAACTATCGAAATTGATTAGTAGGCTAAGACCATATTTCACTTAAATTTAAGTTTGCTTTGACAGGATGCTTAAAATTAAGTTATTTAGGTAGGTAACTCGTTTACCAATTATAGGATTCAATCATTATATAATCCGGTATGTTCGATCCCATCTAATGCCTTGAGATCCAAAACCATTGTGATAATCTCAATTAAGTCAAACAATAATGAATTCTTATGAGTAGCACCATTACTCACGCTTGTCTCACCAAGCTAACCCAGATGTATCTACTTTGGTGGAACTTACATTTGAGTGATCTAGGTTTTGACAAGTATTCATTAATTGACAGCATTATGACTTAAGATTTTGATTAAAGGGTTTAATTAATCAATTTAGCCATCATGTAAAATAAAATGCTGTTGTATCTCATAAAAAATTATGCATATAATGATCTACATCAAAAGCATAATTAAACATGACATAATATAGCTCACCTAACCTATGTCCTCTTAAGCCAATGAGAGGACCTCTTTAAGAAAATAAATTATATAAAGAAACCTTGTTTAAACATACGAGGGGATTGGGGTGATGAGAGACTATACATTTAGAGTTTATAAAGAGAGGCTTGACACATAAGCTGTATTTAAAATTTACAATCCTTGTAAAACTAGAGCCATATTTGTCACCATACCCAAACAATTTCAAGCCAAGAAAACCATAAAAAATAAACAATTCATATAATATGAAAAGCTACACAATTGTGAATTACATTGGGCTAGGGTTAATTAGCCACAGTGATCCCAAACATATTACTGCCTCAAATCCTTTAGATTCATCAATCATATTGAGAATCCAGCCAAATGGATTTCATGTTAAACACATCATATGGATGAATAAATGTATGAACATTTAACTTATTTATATTCAGATTTAAACAAGTGTGTATATATATGTCAAAAATACCACATATAAAACATATATAGATATAAATCCATTAATTGAATTTCTTATCATGGCAACATACATCTTAAGCAATTCATCACATGAACATGCAAGAAGGAATTATAGCAAGGTAATCAACCACAACCCAACTTAAATGACAATTCAAACTAGCTCTGGTACCACTATTAGATTGGGGGTGGAGTAGAAAATTAAAATCAAAATCTAGAAACCTTAATTGCTATTGTTGATTGATCGAATTTGTTTAAGTCAAGGTGCACAAAAGAAGTACTTTTTATATGTCAAATTTTCAAGCTTTGCTCAAGCATTTAGACCCCAGGAGCTGACAACGCAAATCAGCTCCCTCTATTATATCCACACAAACAGCATGTTAGCACTCCCAATGTTTGTCTGTTTGTGCAAAAGCCTTTGAAGATTTGATCTTGTGGCCTCAGTCAGATGTTTCTTTTTCTTTTTCTATAAGGTGTGTTCATGGCTCTTAAAGAATTTTATTGTCAAGAGTCTATCTCTCTCTTAAGAAGCTCGTCCCTCTCTATACTATATAGATTAGGGTTTTTGTCTTTCCTTTTGAATTTTCAAAAAGAAAATCACAATTATTTTTAAAATCTAATATTAAGCCAACAAAATAAGATTTAATTTTTTCATAAATTAAATTTGTGATATCATATCTTATTTGAATTTATCTCATAAGTTTAAATAATAGAAGTGATATGATATCCTCTCATATCATGTTAGTTATTAACTTATCATATAAATAAATTTAAAACTAACATAATATAATATAATATATATATATTGTATATATATATATATTTAAAAATATATACATGGTATAAAATATTATATTTTGAATTTTATATTTCATATATATATATATAAATATTCATCAGATAAATATGATATATATAAAAAATTCATTCACCTTAGACAAAGCATTACATTCATTGAATCTAGACACATTTCAAATTCAATAAACTTGAACATTATAGCTCGAGTTGAGATGTTCTTGTGTGCAACCCTGTAGGCCTATATGAAGTTGGCAATAGGCCAATAATGCAACTAGCCCATAAGTCACAAGTGACCTCTAGCAAAACATTGCGACTACCTAATTTATATAGGGATCAATAATTTGATGTAATCTATCATATAACCGTATCACATCATTTTTGTCACACAATATTTCGGTCAACTGTGAGACATGAAATTGTCATCCTCCTTTACCTGACTATTACTTTCTTGATCTTTGAGTGGAATGACTATAATAATAGAAAAACTCTTTCCATTATAGTATGGCCATACATTTTCTTAATCTTACTCATCGAGGACCCAATAATATCTCTCAGTTAATGTGAGGGACAAATTCCATCTTGAACTATCACTAAATTCAATTATAGCCTTTATGATCACCTAGTTAAAGGTGACTTTTAACTAGGTTAAAGTACAGTAGTCATCACATAGGAATTCATGATGATATCATATCAAAGGGCTTAATGACATTGTTACATATGAGATAAGCTTATGACTTGTACCATGCAACTTTCTCATAGCGGGTTGGTCCAGCACCTTGTATCCTTTTAATTTCCTACAACTTTGATTTATATCTCTATAATTAATCAAAGTCACACTAGTCATGTTTCATCTATGATCCCTCACAAATGACCGATAAAGGGCATTTAGGAGAATCACTATAATTCATCCAAAGATACAATTATTATAGTGAACATGAAATTAATATGATAACAAAATAGAAATTCATTAAATAACAAGGTTTATGGTACAATGATTGGCCCTAGGGCATAATTTTTAACATTCATGAGGTAGAGAGAGTATGCATACAATTTGATTCTCTAATGCTATTTAATCAAAAAATGCACTTTTAATATTGGCTGAGACATGTTTGTGCATGTGAGAAATTGTGAGACTAATGGAGAGTGGAATGCACATGAATGTCAGTGAAAATTATAGACAAATGTTGACTTAATAAGTGGAAGAATAGGCTAAAAATAATGGCTAATGGGATTAATAAATGGGAGAAAATAAATCTGGAAATTCTATGGAAATGAAAAGCAAGCTGTTAAAATATGAGGAGAGAAGGATTTTAATGTGTTGGCAGGGTAGAAAAGTAATCGGGAAAGAAATGAAGAAATTAGAAAATGACTGCTTCACCCCAGGCTTTAGATAAGATTTGAACTTGTAAAATTAACCTTGGGATCATTCTTTTGGTCATCCAATGGTGTGAATTTCATGCAGCTCATTTTCTCCTTCAACCATGACCTAAAACACACAATAGCACCATTCAAACTAAGTTGCACATTTAATTTAAGTGAAATATTAAATCTCCTAAGTTAAAAAATTTATTTAATTATTTCTCAAGAAGAAAGATTAAACCCAAATTAAAATCATATTATGAATGTAAAACTCAAATACTTCAAGTCGTTAAATTTTGGAATTTTTGAAAAATAATTTTTAAAAAATTACATTTCTAGCATAAACTCTTGGAAATTGCATTTTTACCCCAAAATTCCTATAATTTTGAAAATTTCACAAATGATCCAAAATACTCCAAATATGTTCAAAATGCTTTAGATGAGTACCAAAAACAAAGGGAAAGAAGGAATAAAACTATGCAGAAAACTTTGCTTTATCAAATTTTCCCACACTCAGCCAAAACCAATTTCAAAAACAAACAAAATAGCAAACAAGAATTCATTGCTAGCTCAATTCAATACACCATTTTAACCTAGTATGATCAACCATCAACCACATATGCATGCAAAAGTAATTAGGGATTCAAAATCTAACTAGCAAGAAACAAACAGATAACCAAACAGGGGTTAAATATTTCACTTAACTCATAAAGGTGTGCAAGGTCATGTTCACTCTACCACTTGCAATGCAATTCTACCATAAGCTTGTTAGAATTTTAAAATCTCCATGACTAATTAGCATGAAAACAAGAATCATCAGGTCTTTTTTAAGAAAAATGACCATGATTGATGTAATGAATGGATGAAAAGGGATTGAATTGTCAAAATGGACAAATGCAAATGATCCATCACAAAGTAAACACATAAACCAATTTCAAGTAGTCAATGCAATTACAACAATGACAATCCGTAACAAGCAATTCAAAAATCAATACAAAGATTTGGAATTCACTTTTATCCTTCTTTATTTTGCTTTTCTCTATTTTTCTTTCCTTTTTCTTTTTGTTTTTCTTTATTTTTATTTTATTATCAATTCTTTCTTCAATTCTTTTTTTAATATATTTTTCCTTTCTTCTTCTCTCTATTTTTTTTCCTTCTTCTTTTCAACTCCAAGTGAATCTAACAATTCAGAATGATAAAAACATATCGTAACGGTGTGGCAACAATTAAGCATCTAGAGTATGTAACCATGCACCATACATGAATTGCAAGTTAGAATGATGAGAAGGCACATGCATTTTCTAAATGAAATTAAGCCATGCATCTAAAATGTAATGGAATCATGTCCAGTTGCATCCATAATGAAATTCAAAAGGAATGTGGACGAAATGGAATGAAATGAAATAGAAATAGTCAGGCTCAAAGAGTTGGCGAAAGATATAATATTCAGATTTGCCTTTTAAGTAAGGTTGGTGATTTTTAATGAATGCCTAAATCATTTTCTAATAGAAACATGCAAGAAGTAGCCTAGACAAGTTCTAGAGAGCTAGCAAAGACAAGTGGCATGACACATAATTGAATGAAGAATGGATATGAAGGCTTAAAATTTCTTCCAACTAGCTATGCTATCCATCAATTTCAAAGCAAGCTAGATAGAAAAATCCAATCATATTCTTGTGCAAGTAAGTTGTCAAATGTCTCATATTCAATTGCCATGATGAATTTCCTTATGCTTGGTAGCTTAAACTCAAAACAAAGATTTTTTATTTTTTTTTCCAAAACTTTTTCAACACTATTTATAAAAAAATTCAAAAAATTTTAAATTTGGCCAAATCAACAAAATTATGCAAAAATATAAAAAAGATGAATGCAATCTAAAAATAAAACCAGAAATACAAAATGCAATGTTACCCAAAAAAACACTTAAAACTTGGCATTGCCCTTAATTCCTCAAACTAAAGAAGAAGACAAAGAAGTCAAAAGACCTAAGAGGCCAAGAATAAGGGCAGAAAAAACAATGCAAATGCATGAATATAGGACCTAAATGCTAATGAAGTACGGATGCAGCTCCTCCACACTTGAACAACACTATAAATCCAATTTTAGCAAATAACCAAGAAACAAGTAAAGTAAAAGAGAGGGAAAGAATACAACTAGATGGAGATGTCATGGAGAATCCAAGTTATAGAGTTGATCCAGCAAAGAAGGTGCCATAATAGCTAGTACCTGCAAAAGTTGCATCCAATTTTTCCTCCAAAAGAGGATAAATAGATAGGCCTATTAAGGAGGAAAAAAAAAGTTGGCCAAGAGGCATAGCAAATGATGGCATGTTGACAAAGGAAGGATTGGGGGGATGAAAAAGAAATGGATTGATGCTTGGGCATGATAGGTAGGTGTAGACATTTGTGATGAAATTGTATCAATATTATTCAGAGATGAAGCAAGACTTATAATGTACAAGAAGGATGTGATAATGATATCATATCATGATAGAATAAAACATAATCGCTAGTATCTTACTTAAAAAAAGGTAATGATAGAACAAAGACAACTAATAAGCATTAGGGTTAGGTTAAGTTAACTAATGAGCCTAAGACCCATTAGCCTACTTTCCACACTTCCCTTCAAACTGGAAAATAGGTGTTGATCATTTCCATCTTGCTTATCATCTCTTCAAACTTCACTCTTCTAAGAGGCTTAGTCATCATATTTGCAACTTGGTTTCCTGAGGGAATATATGCCAGATCTATGATCTTATTTTTTTCTTGATGAAATGTCTATCAATCTTGACATGCTTAGTATAGTCATGTTAAATAGGATAGTCTGTAATCTTGAGAGATGCCATACTATCATACCACATTTTTATAGAAGCTTTCATTTCTACACCAAGTTCCTTCAATAGTTGTACAACCTATATACCTTCAAAAATTCCAAGAGCTAATGCTCTATATTTAAATTCTACCAAGTTTCTAAAAATGACTAGTTATTTTTCACTCCTCTAAGTTACCAAGTTACCCCACATAAATAATATCCTGTGGTGGAATGCCTATCATAAATTGCTCCTGCCCAGTCTATATCATTGTAGATTTCTACATCTATTACACCTTCTGATCCTAGAATTTTCTTATTTCCATCTATATAGATTTCTATACTCTTCTTATTCCCCTTTAAGAAGAATAAACCCTTTCTTAATGTGGTTTTGAGATATATGAGGATCTTGTATACAACTTCCATATGCTCTTTTTAGGTATTGCTTGCAAACTAGCTCACAAATCCTACTCCAAAGGATATGTTAGTTCTTGTGTAAGATAAGTATATGAGTTTTCCCACCAATTTTTAATACCTCTCTTTATTCAATGTCTTCCTATCAAGTTTCACCTTTAAATTGCAATTCAATTCCATTAAAGTGTTTGTAGGTCTTGCTCTTAATATTCTAATTTCCTTAAGCAAGTCTAAGGTGTATTTTCCTTATGATATATTAATGCCTTTAGACAATCAAGCAACCTCTAGACCCAAAAAATATCTTAGATTTCCATGGTCTTTGATCTCAAATTCTTTAGCTAGCCATTATTTTAGCTTTAAGATCTCTTCTGCATCATTTCTTGTTAGTACTATATCATCCACATATATGATTAGGAAAGTTTTTCTTTGACAAATTGTCTTACAAATAATGTATAATCAACCTGACATTGAACATTGCAAAACCTCTTTACAGTATGAGCAAACCTTTCAAACCAAGCCTTGGGCAACTGCTTTAAGCCATATAATGACTTGTGCAATTTATATACTTTTCATGCATTATGCTAACCTCCCAGTCCTAGTATAATCTCCATGTACAACTCTTCTTCTAAATCCCCATTTAAAAAGGCATTCTTAACATCTAATTGAAATAATAGCCTATCTAAATTAGCAACAAGAGAAAGTAGAATATTTATGGTATTGAATTTCACCATTAGTGCAAAAGTTTCCTAATAGTCAATGCCATAGGTTTAGGTAAAGCCTTTGGAAACTAATCTTGCCTTATATTTATTAAGACTACTATCAGGATTATACTTCATTATAAGAACCCATTTATTCCCTACCACTGACTTTCCTTAAGGTAACTTCATAATCTCCTATGTTTACCTTTTATTTAGAGCCTTCAGCTCTTCAGCAATAGCCACATCCATATAGGGTCAACTATGGCTTCCTCAAAAGTCTAAGGTATATTCTTACTATCAATAATTACAACAAAGTTCTTCAATTGAGAATTGAGTTTGTCATAGGAGACATACCTATTGATGAGGTGTCTAATACAACTCCTCTTACCTTTTCTAAGAGCAATAGACCGCTGAAGTTCTTTAGGATTAACCTTAGATTGAGAATCATGACTTTTCCTTAAAGCAACAATGGGATCTTCACTATTTGTATGCCGTTCAACTTGATCTATCCCTGATTCATCCAAGTATGTCTTAAAATTGAGTTCAATTTGGGTAGTTTAAACTTTAGGTTCTAGAATAGATGGTTCAAGCCTTGGGATAGTAGGGATAGGAATAAAAATAGAGTTAGCATAGAAAGGTCTAATGACACATGAGGATGCACACTTCGGCTACTAGTTTCATTAGAGAAAAGGTCTAGTGGCATATGAGGACATACACTAAGGCTGCTAGTTTGTTTATTATTTGAATGACCATTGTTTATTGCATAAATTAGCCATTCACCATCATTTTCCCCTTGAATGGGTAAGTTGGGAAAGAAAGGTTATTGATTTAACAAACACGACATTTATAATGATATAGAACTTGTGAGTGTAAGGAGAATAATACTTGTACTCCTTTTAAGTAGATGAACATCCTAAGAAAATGCATTTGATAGACCAAGATTTGAGTTTACTGCTTGCTTCATGAAAGAAAAAATAGTTTGTCCGAAAACCTTTTTGGAAGAGAGTTAATCAAATGAGAGTGAGGATAGGATGTCAAAAATAAGTTAAGAGGAATTTGAAAGTTGAGAACCTTATAGGGCATACAATTAATGAGGTAAGCAACCTTAAGGATTACATCTCCCTAACATTTTTATGGAACATTTTTACCTAGTAAGAGGTCCCTAGCAACTTTTAGTTCTTCGCTACTCTATTTTATTGAGTTGAATGCACACTAGAAGTTTGGTACTGTTTCCTATTCTCAATAAGAAAAGAATGAAAAGCTGAATTGAGATATTCAATTTCATTGTCACTATAGATTTTTCTTTTATAAGAAAAATCCATTTCAATTGAGTGTGATCATCAACAAAAGAAATAAGCCACTTGGCCTTAGTATGAGTTTCAATCCGTAAAGGACCCTACATGTCACTATGTATGTGAGAAAAAGGTATGGAGGGAATATAAGAGTTAGTTAGGAAAGGATTGCAAGTTTGTTTGGCAAATTTGCAAGTGTCACAATGAAATTTAATTTCATTCATAGAGTTAATCAAATTTTTCATATAATCAAAACTAGGGTGACCTAAATGAAAATGCCACAACATAATGTCTTCTTGAGACATAATAGAAAAAGCAAAGACAAAATTGGAAATAAGATCAACTAAATAGCTTTTCTTGGAAGATTTTCCTTCCACATAGTAGAGCCAATTGTGTCCTTTAGCATTGCTAATCATCCTCTCAGAGACTAAACCCTAAAAAACATGAGATTTATTAAAGGTAGCAAGGAAAGATAAATAGTGGGTAATACATGTGATTGATAACAAACTACATTGGATATCGGGAACATATACAACATTCTTCAAAATAATAAAGTTGGAGATAACAACAGTTCTAGTTCCTATCAACCGAGAATATGTGCTATTAGCTACTTGTACACGAGTATGCTCGAAATGAGGGCTAAACTCAAAAAATAGTTCCCAAAACTTGTGATATGGTTTGTTGCCCTCGAATCAGCCACCCAGGTGTTGTTACAGTGAGAAACAGCACTAAGTTCAACTAGTAAATTCTTACTAGTATGGGCCAAGGTGACCAAGGGAGTAGGTTTTTGACTTTGTCTCATCTCAAGTATATTTTTCTAGAATGTATTTCATCATAGCAATTTTCTTAGTATTAAGTATAAGATCATAAGTAAGCATGATAGTAAACTCTTTGTTATCACCTTTATGTTTGCCCTTGCTATCACCCTAGTTTTGGTCTTTAAATGAAATTATTTGCCATGAATCTATCAGCAAGTCCCTTGGATATGACCATTTTTATTACAATGATCACATTAAAGAGACCTTTTTCCTTTGTGATTGTTCTCTTGATAACCATGATCTATCATAACCGAAGTGTTAAGAAGGGAAGAGGAAATAGGAAGAGAAAGCTATACCAAGGCCTCACAACTTTCTTCATATTTAATCATATTAAATATATCTTCACGAGAAGGTAGAGGTTTCATACCCATAATTCTTCCTGGAAGATCCTCATGGGAGTGACTGAGGCCAAGAAGAAATTCATAACACCGCTCACATTCAACTACCATCTTATAGTAGAGCGCATTAGCTTGACAAGACTATTGATACACCTTGTATAGGTCTATATGTTGCTAGAGATGCATAAGAGTTGTGTAATACAAGGTAACTAATTTCTCCCCCTGTGTAAGAGTTCAAAGAGTATGCTTTTCTTGATAAATTGTTGCTGTATTTTCCTTTACAGAATAAGTATGTTGAGTAGATTTTAAAATTTCCTAGGTTGAGTTGGAAAGTAGATAAAGCAAGTTATCACCATGTTATTTTCTGCAAACCAAATTTCATACTTGAGGTCACTAACTTCTAGTAGTTTCAGGGAACCAATCGAATAAATCTCCTTATTTCGGCCACGTACGAACATCTTGGACCACTACAAGTATTCATTCCCATTCAATTGATGGATAAGAAGTAGATGAAAAAGTGAATCACCATTACTGCCACTACTTAGGGAAACACTATCACTACCATACTAACCAAAGGGGTTGTTTGTGTGGTTCCTATCCATATTAAAAACCCATGAGGTACCATTCAAGGCTGCCTTATAAGCCATAAAAACACACAAAAGCACAGGAACTAGAGTACTTCAGCGAGACCTGACTCGCATCACTACCAACCCTCACCTTATGGAATGCCTGGCACCTTATACCCCTTTAGAAAGGGAAATTAATAGTTTATTTTTTTACAAATTAATAGTTTAATAAACTAATTTAATAACATTTAAACCCTTACCATGGTAGAAAGAGTTTTCCTTATAATAAAAACCTTTCACAAATAATCTACTATCGAAGTATTTATTTTTTAAGTGCTTCAAGAGTATACCTTTGTTAAAATTTCAAAAACATGGTCATGTAACCAACACTTTACAAACCATATTTTTGCTATTAATACCTGACTTAGGTCCAAAAAACACTTTTCCAAACACCTTATATCCCTTCTTAATCTATGCTCAGATGCTAAGTCACCCGACCAAAGGTGAGTTGGATCAAGCTACAAGCCCTATCGAATAGTCTTTAATACACTCCGACAAGCTTACCATATGGTAACTCAATCAGACAAAATCCCTATCGAACAATCTTCAATACACTTTGACAAGTCATGCATTTATAACAACTAGACAAAATCACTTGGCACATTTTTTATATCAACCAGACATTTTATCTCATATTTTTAGCAGGGCCAATATTCATAAAATATTCATAAATATAAATCTTACCCATTTAGCAATTATTTCAGAACAAAAATATACACATATATTATTTATCAACAAAAATCAAGATTTTTCTAATAACAAAACAAACACACAATAAACCACACACACTACCACATATTAATAATGGTTACCCTATCTCTTAAACAACATATTCCCCTTTACAATATCTCTTTCATCACTCTCTTTGTCAACACAATCTACATAATTATTTTATAATACTAAATATTAATTTTCCATTAAAATTAATAAGTAATTCTAATTTAAAGAGTTAGAAAGTTTTACTCTTAAGACCTATACTAATTCTACTTCAAGATTAGTGCCTTGTTTAACTTTTTTTCCACATTCCTTTCTAAAATTCTCATAGTCCAATAAATTATTTAAGCTCCAAATCAATCCTAATATCAAAATTTTATTAATCCACATTCTAAAAATTTGTTCAAAATTAAGTTGGAAATTCAAAGAAAAAACCCCTCAAACTACAAATCAACATTTCATAGCCTTAAAAATATTTATTCATATTCAAATAAACATCTAATAATTAAAAATTCATCCCAACATCTCAAATCTAATATAAATTCAATCATATAAGTCTCAAGTTTAACTTACAAACTCTCAAATTTGAGTTCCAACCTAAAAAAATGTTTTATAACATTTATTATACCTTCAACAACTTAAACATTTATTTTTAAATCATCACAACTTTTGATTAAGCATTCTACAAAAAAATCCAAATCAAAACATTTTCTCTATTTATCAAAATAATATTACTATTAAATATTTATTGATGAGTGGAAAATATTTATGAAAAGAGTTTGGTGCTTAATAGTCATTTTGAATACCTAAACAATCTAAAAAGTTATAACTTACTTGAAAAATGGGTAGATGCTATGTGAAGAAGGAGGAGAAAAAACAAAGGCCAAGGTGGAAAACGAAAGGGGAGGTGATATGGGAGTTGGAGCGAGATCGTGCTAGTTTGAGACAGGACCTGAAACACGAATAAGGAATAAAAAATAAACAAACAAAAGTAGAGATGAAAATATGATAAGGGATGTAGATATGATAAACAAAAGAAAGATAAGGATCAAGGAAAAGGAAAACTAGAACACCTATTTCTAGCATCCTTAGCCTTTGAGACACCATAAGAGTTGATCAGACTCTTGATCACACTAGTATTCACCTCAGGATTCCCACAAGGAAGCACAGCTCACACAGAGAGTTTCACCAAACTTAAGAGAAAGTTATCATTCATAATATGGTTGGAAAATTACATAAGGGGGTCTATTTATAGGCATGACAATAAAAGACTCTAGAGTCCCTAGCCCTAGATGATTCCCTACATAATGGCATCATCTTCTCAGAAAAGAAGATTCCTTATTTCTTGGGAATTCAACAATAATTGCTAGATGAGAGAACTCAAAAACTTTCCTAATAACTAAAGTCTTGCTTCCTAAGTCAAATCACCTAATAAAATGATAATAATGAAAAAGAATCAATATTAAAGCTAAAAATTAAAAAGAAAAACAATTAAGTCTTAAAATTCAAACTTAGAACAAAATAGAAAATAATTCGAATTCACATTGAAGGCTTAAAGATGATGGAGATCATGCCTTTTCTCTACTCATTTATGATCATAAATGGCACCTTCTTATCTTCAAATTAGACCATAAATGGCATCCCATTCTTGACCAAAATACCCCTTAAGCTTATTTAACATATGGTGAATTAAATAGGCCTGAGTTTTCACCAATTGGGCTTGCATTTTCATGAATTTGGATCTTTAATGTTGTAAGCAAGTGTGAACCTTCTTCATTGAGCTTATTAGCTCATTAAAGAATATGGGCTCAAGCTCTTGGACTTCTTTAATAGGACCAGTTAGGCCTCCTTCATAGCTGTGGTCTGGGCTCTAATTGTTGGACCTCCTATACTTTACAATGGATCTTTGGACACATTAGACTTAAACTCTTAAACTCTCTTTAGGCTTGGCATGCCTACTAGCTCCTCTTGAGCTTTAAGCACATCCATTTTTTATTTTTTAAAAAGTGATTTGTCCCATTTTCTTCTTTTTTTTATTTTTATATATATATATATATATTATTTTATTCTTATTTTTCATCCTTAAATTATATCCTAACTTAAACTTGGTCTCTTTCTCCTCCTTCGCGCAGCGTCCGCCATTTTATTTTTTATGTTAAGTTCAAATTTTTCAGATCATTTGGATATTCAAAATGACTCTCATTTTCCAAATTTTCTTGATTAATATTTTTCACTAATCAAGAATTGTCTAACAATAGCATTGTTTTGATGAATAGAAAAAAAATTTAAATTAAAATTTTCTTATAAAACAGCTAATCTAAAGTTATGATGATTTAAAAATAAATGTTGAGGTTATTGAGAATATAATAAATACTATAAAATATTTTTTAATGAGTAAAAAAATATATATCAAAATATTTTTGTGATTGGGAATCATTTTAAATACTTAAATGATCTGAAAATTTAGAACTTACCTGAAAAACTGGCAACGCTGTGCAAAGGAGCAGGAGGAAGAGACCAAGGTGAAGGTGCAAAATGGAGGGATGAAGACAAAATGGAAGGGGCTATATTTATTAAAAAAAAAGTGTCGGTCTCATATAATTATTATTTATTGTTATTATCATTATATTTTTTTTTCATTTTTGGGGACAAATGACTTTATTTTTTATTTTATTATTATAATATTTCTTTTTCAGAAGGACAAACCACTATTAGTTTAGGTGACCGAATTCTACAAGTGGTAGGGGGATAGTGGGTTAGAAAATTTGATGCCTGTAACGTCCAAGAGTTTCTAATTTGATAGAGGTTCAAAAAAAAAATCATACTTGAATTAACTTACCTTAATTGCTTTTCTTTAAAGTTTGACTTTATTATTTTTGATAAGATTTCATTTTTGACTTTTTTTTTTTGTGGTTTTTTTTTGGCTTTCCATCTTTCTTATTTCCTTTTTTTTTTTTTACCTTTAATTTCTTGTCTTTCTTTTACTTTTGTTTTTATTTTTTCTTTTCTTCTTTTCCTCTTTTGTTTCTTTTGACTCATGACTTGCTTTCTTTTCTTCTTTTATTTTTCTTTGTTGGCAACTAGTTGATAACTCTCAAAATCTGAACTGAATATGTCTTAATTTTCTAATTTTTAGATAGAGGACCCTACATCTGACACTACCTAGGAAACTACCTCCTGAATAAGAGAGGTAAATTCTTCACTATAAACTACCTAGGCTGCTTGTGATGCTTGCTTTTTTATTTGCCTTGGAATATTTCTGACGATGTTGTTCATCCATCTAAAAAGTGCTTGAGTGTTCACATATTCTATATTGTCCTTATCCCACCATTTGACTCTAAATTTTCTTACCAAATAATTGACTGTAGGCATGGTAGCCTTTCATTTACCACAACAAAGCACTAACTTATTATTCACAGTACTATCATGTGATAAAAGAAATAAAATGACTTTTCATTATTTTTAAAATCAGTTTTTTTCTTTAAAACATTCATATCCCTTCACTATCACTAAAGGAAGTATTTTCTTTACTGGTCTAGTGAAACCATTCAAGAAACTATATTGAAAACTATTTGAACAATCCCTAATGAACTAGATAAACTAGGAATGCTCATGATTTCTATAGTATAAAACAAAGTATTATACCTCTTTATAATCATAATAATTATAAACTTAGTCATGGTAGTTTATTGAAAACATTTTTGCTATAAAAGCTGATTATAAACTTGGCCTTTCACGGGCACCGTCAAATGTCATCTATCTAAGAATTAGAAAATGAAGACATATACAATGCTCTTTGAAAATTATCAACAAGTTGCCGATAGGGAAAAATAAAAGAACAACAGAAAGCAAGTTGGGCCAAAAGAAACCAAGAGTAAAAGAAAAAAAGCAAAAGCAAAAGAATAAGGAAGACAATAAATCACGGGTAACAAAAGAAAGAAAGAAGATAAGAAAGCAAAGGATAGAAAGCAAAAAAAAAAGCTACAAGAAAAGAAAGTTAAAAATAGAATCTTATCAAAAGTAGAGCCAAGCACTTAAGAAAAACAATCAAGGTTAAAGAAAGTTGATTCAACCATGAGTTTTCTTGACCTCCATAGTAACATAAAACCTTGGACATTGCAAACATCGAAGAATTTCTAAACCCTCTCTCTCTCTCCCCCTACCACTTGTAATATATTCCCTTCAACCTTCTCTCTTCACTTTTTCCCTTTGTAAGCTGCTGCCTATGATTCGGAAGAAGAATAATCTTTTGAAGAAGAAGAAGAAAAAGAAGAAGTAGCAGACAAGATTCTAAATATACAACAAGAAATTAATGGTGAAACTTTAGATACATATACTTATAATAAATCTTGAAGAAAATAAAGAATCACAAAAAACTGCACAGCAAAATAATTATATAAATATAAATTTACATACTATAAGCCATATCTGCAGAACAAACAAAAAAATGATTAATTTAAAAAAAATGGGATATAAGAGATAAAAACAAAATAGAAAATTTATTATCAAGAATAAATAAGAAATTAGAAATGCCAAATCTAAAAGGAAAAAAAAGTAAAGATAGAATAAATGTTATAGAAGAAGATTCCTCAATAGAAAATTTACAGGATTAAAGTTATCTATTATTATTTTTTAATCCTTAAATTATATCCTAAACTAAGCTAATAAATTAATAACAATAAAATAATATATATATATATATATATTTGCGGGATGCAGTACATAAATTTAAAAGCAGTATATAAATATAAGCATAGGATTTTTTTTAAATAAAGAAAAGTACAAAATGCTTATAGGGAAGAAATTGAGAGGAAAAGAAGAGGGAATTTTACAAGTGGTAGGAGAAGGAGATAGGTTACAAGAGAGGGGTTGTTCACTCAATGTCTGTAAGATGAAGAATCTACTTCTTTTATAGGCTTTTGAGTAACCTTAAGGTTTGCTTCACCAAACTCTAGTTGAGGTTCCTTTTGACTAACTTTGATTACTTTAAGTAGTGTGCCCTTGGCTTTTTCTTTTTCATTACTCGTGACTCTTTTTCTATTCTTCTTTTGCTTTTGACTAAATGCCACATTTGTTGGCCAACTTCTCTTTTTCTTTTATCTATAGGCAACCATTTGGAACTCTTCATAATCAACTCCAAATACGTTGTCATCTTTTATTTCCTAAGTTGAGGATCTCTAGATGCAGCTTGAGATGCCTGAGAAGCTACATCTTGAATTATTGAAGCCCATTCCCCTTTTGTCTGGGCAGTTGCTAGTTGGGCCATCAACTTGTTATTTTTTGCCAAAAAAGCTACTGACGCAACAGCTTGTTTTTTAATTAGCTTTGGAATTGTTTTAATAGTAGTTTTAATCCACCCAAGAATTGTTTTTGTATCGGCAAATTTTTCATTATATTTATCCCACCCTTTTATTCTAAATCTTCTTACTAGATAATTGACTGTAAGGCAAGGTGGTCTTTTAGTTGCCACTGAGAAGTACCAACCCATCACCCACAATAGTCTCATATAAAAAAAGAAATAAAATAGCTTTTCATTGTCTTTGAAATTATTTTTTCTTTCCTTTAAAACACTCGTACCCTTTTGCCACCTTCAGAAGGAGGATTTTCTTTATTAGTCCGAAAATATGAAACTATTCAAGGAAACATTTTAAAAAAGTATTTGGACAATCCCAATCAAACCAAAAAACTAGGAATGTTCATAATTTTTGTAATACAAAACATCATTCCATGCCTCTCTATAATAAAAATAATTATAAAATAAATCATGGTAATTTATTGAAAATTCTTGGCCATATAAGGTGAATAACCCCAAGTGGTTGGAGTTAATACTTTATGGATTTTTATTTGGTTGTAAGATCCTCCTCCTTTTCCTTGATGATTAATCATGATGGATTTTGAAGCTACCAGGATCAATTCATAATATCTTCTATCTTTTTTCATGTTGATTGGAGTATAATTCCAAATGCCTTCCTTTTGATGAGGAGGAAATATTGCTTGTATAGTATGGGATATATTATCTCTTTGAGATTCTGGTTCTATCACACATTGAATCAGTAATTTAGGCCAAGCCTAACGAGTTAGTCCGAACCTACTTGAAAAATTTATAGCCAATCCAAAAAAAAAAAATTTAAATGTTTGGCCTATTTAGGCTATCCTAAATAAGTCATAGGAAATTCAGGCCAAGCTCGATCAAATTCGGGCTTAGCTTGAATACTGAATAAAAAATTAAATTTTTTTTAAATATAATAAATATTAATTAATTCTTTAGATTTTATATCATTTTGTACTAAAATATTATATATTTGAGTGCATTACTATAGTTATTTTTTAAAAATATTTATATTTTCATATTTGTATTATTTTTAACCAATAAAATATCACAAAATAATATTTAAAATATATTTTAATATTTATTTTTTTATTTTAAGATGCAATTTTTTTAAAAAAAATTTGAGTCCTATGCATCATTTTTCCAAAAAAATATATTTTATATTTTTTATAAAATAAGATAATTAATTTTAAAGTAAAAATAAAATGTAAAATAATTTTAAAAATAAAATTTAAGCATGTATGAATTCCTAGCTCTACTACTAGATAAACATAATAATATTTTTGAATAATTATTTAGTTATCATCCACACCATACTTGATTAAAAATTAAGAATAAATTAATGTAAATATCCCTTGTATGTAAGGGTTAAACAATATGAAAAGTTAAAGAAAAAATAATTTTTTAAAAAAAGTATTTTACTCATAATTAAATGATTTTTTTTATATAATATAATGATAGCTATTTTTTTAATATTCTTAAAAAATAAAAAGTATAGTTTACTCAAAAGTTATTAAAAGCTTTGAACTAAGTGGGGTAATGATTTTAAGTTAGTGATCTAATCATGATTGAATTGAGATCAAGTTGATCATAATTAAAATCATATATTTTAATTAAAATACATAAAATATTTACATATGACCATGATAAAAGCAATATTTAAATAACTAAGACATTAATTTATAAGTAAAAAAAACATTCATGAATAAATTATACATAATACAATAAAATAGTAATAGAGTTACTTAAGCACAAAATTGATAAGTTATTATTTTTTATTTTATTATTTTAAAGTTAAAATAATATTTTATACTTAACAGAATTATTTAAAAAATAAAATTAGTTCAAAAAATATTTTTAAAAAATTTTAGGTATTTGGGCTAGTCCAAATAAGCCTGAATGTGTTTGGACTGGGCTTGGCTATATGAGTTTTTTAAAATAGGTAGGATACTTTAAACTTGATTTGAATAAGACAGGCTTGAATTGAACTTGGCTCGCCTAAATTATCGACTCTAATCACACATACATTTTCATGAAGTTGCATTGCCTTTTATATCCAAAATAGTGCAGAAATAGAATTTTGATAAGGCCAAGTAAATCTCTATGGAGTTGCTCAACATTTTATGTCCAAAATAACCCAAAAATAGAAAGAGGTGTGCTAAGGTCAATCATAAATTATAAGGCACTAAATAAAGTTTTAAGATGGATAAGATGTCCTATGCTTAAAAAAAGGATTTAATAGGAAGACTATCTAATACTTCAATATTTTCAAAATTTGATATGAAATTTTGATACTACCAAGTACGTATAATAGAGAAAGATAGATATAAGATAGCATTCACAGTTCCTTTTGAATATTACGAATGAAATGTAATGCCATTTGGATTAAAAAATGCACCCTCAAAATTCCAATAGATAATGAAATATAGAAGAAACTATGAGTTAATCTTGATGGCTTCAAAACCCATTATGATTCAACATCAAGGAAAACAAGGAGGTTTTTATAGCCAAATAAAAATCCATAAGGTATTAACTCCAACCACTTGGGGTTACTCATTTTATACAGCTAAAAACTTTTCAACAAATTACCATGACCAAGTTTATAATTATTTTGATTATAAAGAGGCATGGTATAATATTTTTTACTATAGAAATTATGCACATCCCTAGTTTTTTTGGTTTGATCGGGATTGCCCAAACAATTTCTAAACAAAATTACAAATAAAAACCAATTACAGAGACTTTTAGGGTGTTTAAATTATGTGGAAAACTTCCTTCCAAATATAAGGATAAAAATAGAAATACTTTCTAAAATATTATAGAAGCACCCTCTAGAATGGAAAAACAAAATGACAAACATATTAAAATAAGTAAAACAAGTAGTCAAAAGGCTACCTTGTCTAAGGATAGAAAATCCAACAACCTTTAAGATAGTAGAGACAGATGCATCAAAAATATGATATGGAGCAATCTTAGAATAGTTAGATGGAGATACTCTAAAGGTGGTGGAAGCAATGAATGTTTCAAAGAAAAAACCAATTTTAAAGTGAATGAAAAGCCATTTTATTTCTTCTATTTTATGAGAGCACCATGAGTAATGAACTGGTGCTTCTTAGTGGTAATAGAAAAATCATCTAGATTGCCTTATTCAAATGTCAGATGAAGAATTAGGGCAAGCCAAAAGTTAGCCCTGATTGCTATCTTTTGATAGTAACTATGTTGTAGAATTGGTATTGTAACATCATGAATTCCTGATTCTTGCATTAACGCTAATTAAGGGGAAAATTAGTAATTTAATGTAAGATTAGGATTTTGGGATAGTGGAACGTTAATTTGACTCTTTGGGATGTTGTATGGACAAATTAGAGTGGAAGAACGTTGTTACGAAGCAAAGCGTGTGAGCGCGGAGAGGAGTTTCCTTACTGTGCCACACATTGTGGCTAGTGCCGGATGCGCCATAGCACATGGTGTAGAAATTTGGAGGATAAGAATGTTTCCAACTCATGAGAAACAAAAGGAAATAGAGGAAAAATGCATGGGAGAGTAGAGCAGAGAGTGACCTCTTATAGGGAAACCACTTTTGGGAGCAAGGATGACGCTTTTGACCTATTACTTTATAAGGTAAGTCTTGTATTACCTTAACCTTCAATTATATATTATTTTGTCTTAGTTTAAACTATTGCAAAATTGAATTCAAAGGTTTTAAGGGGGTGATTTTTTACCTTATAGTAATAAAAAGGTTCTCTAGGCTTAAACTAGGACTTTGCAACTGGTTTGAGTTTAAATAGTAAAGTTTTGAAATTATAGACTCAAACTGGTTGAGTTTAGAGAGAGAGATGGGTAAAGTTTAGACATAAGTGTGTTAGCACTCGTGTTGAGTGGTGATTGGGTATAGAAGGTGGAAATGGGTTTGAGTAAGGGAAGTGATAGTGTTTAGATGCTTGATTACTATAATTGACACTTTTAGTCAATAAGATAATTGACTCCAATTGCTAATTTTGTGTAGATTTTCATGTGTGACATATTGAAATAGTGAAAGAAACTTGGAGTAAAAGAGTGTAACATAGGTAA